CTTTAGGAAAGTGCCAGATTAACTATTTCACAAGCTATGCTTTTATTACAGTTAATAGACAACAGAATGCTGTTTTTAAATGCTCCCATTCAGTTTTACTCTAAACACAAAAGAAAGAATCCAGTGCACCTATCAACTAAAATAAAAGATGTTTGTGGCAATTAGCAGGGAATCTAAACTCTGGAACTAAGGAATTCTGAGTTAGGATAGCTTTATTTGCATCTTGATATGCGGCATATTCATTCTTCCTAGCAAAACTCCATTAAAGTACTGCTCCAGAAATAAGTCAAATATGCAGTTTTTAAACACAGCACAGAAGAATTTGATTTTTCTACTAGGCTTTCTTTGCTCTTGTTACACTATGGGTCTTCCTGGCCATTCTATTTGTCTTCAGATTTTGCCGTTTCCCTGGGACAGTCTCCAGGGAACTGTCTGTTGATGAGGGGCAGCAGGAACAAACCCTGGACATTGCCCAGAAGGGGCTCCAAATGCATTCCGCGCCCCCCCCCGCCCCGTCCCCAGATTGACTCCTGTTCACAGTTGCTACAAAGCGAACTGTCAAAAGAAACAAAAGGTGCTTCTTCTTGCTGAAAAGAGGAGGTTGAGGAAGATATACAATCACTGTGCAGCCAGTTCCGTGTTTCCTCACCCCTCCTCACCCTTTATGATCCACTTTTTGCCTTGTTTCCTGAACCAATAGTTGAATGCCCTACTTTTTTCCAGCTGTTAGGGACCCTTTAAAACAGGAATTTGACTGGAAAATGGAAGGACTGCTTAAGATACTCTAGCTGCTCGATAGATAAAACAGAAATTCAATTGGCATAGGCAGTCCTCTGAATGCTGCTAACAAACAACATAATACAATTATTACATAATACTGAGCAAAACTAAAAGGGTAGTCATTATTTCATTTAATGATGGCAGCCAGCAGTAATACTAAGAGTGAAACAGGAAGATGCTTTAACCCTTGATCATTTTAAGGAACAACCTAATGTGTGTTTCAAAGAGAAAAAGTCCTGCATTTCCCAGCATTCCATAGCGAGCCACGCTCCTGGTTTCCTTCTACTGTTGTTGTTGTTGTTGTTAGTGCAAACCAATGTGATTTATTATTTTCCCAGCAAAATTTTTTGAGGACAACAGAAGTGAATGGCAAGTGCCAACTTTTTTTACCATTACTGTATCCGTCCAAATATGTAAAGCAGAATATAAAAATGGAAGGATCAATTCTATGGTCCCTCACAGCTGGCACAGAAAGAACCAGGCTGTCTACCTCAGAGAAGGCCAAAAGAAGATATTTCGGTGGCGAGGGACAAGGTTGGAAAGCCCAAGACTAGAAAGGCCTCCCTCCTTCTCCCCCAAGATGCCCAAGCAAGACAGAAGAAAAAGCCATTCTAGTAACAGATGCAGGAGAAGGGACAGGAGAGCAAAGACTACCTTTACCTCTTCTCCAACTTTGTGTAGGATTTGGGGGGTTCATGTGCATCAGAAGAGGACTGCACCCTACAAAAATATTATTTCTCCCTTCCCTGGTTTCTTGGGTCGCTTTCTTCTCCGATGTACGGAGGCACAACGGGATGTAGATCCAATCAGGATCTGCCTCACATAGTTCTCCATGTCTTGGTTTTTGTTGTTGGGCTCCTTGTCAAGGTTCTCTTCAGATGACAGGTCCTACCCAGATCCAAATCCAGTTCAGAATCCTGTCCCAGGCTTTCCTAAATTTCTCCCTTCCCCAGTTTCTTCAGTTTTTTCTTGGTCTTCTGGAGGCACAATGGGATGCAGATTCAGTCAGAATCTGCCTCGGTAGCCCCCATGTCTCAGTTTCTGTTGCTTTGGTCTTTGTCAAGGTTCAGAGGACAGGTCCTACCTGGATCAAGATCCACATCAGAATCCATTTCTGGGTTTTTCAAATTTCTCCCTTCCCTGATTTCTTGGGTCCCTTTCTTGGTCTTCTTCAAAGTATAGAGGCACACCCGGATGTAGTTCTAGTGAGAATCTGCCTTGGGTACTCCTCTTTATCGTGTTGTTTGGCTCCTGGGTTACTTTTCAAGGTCCTCTTCAGAGCACTGGCGCTAGCTGGATCTAGATCTTCAGCGGTGTCTCCCAGCCACTCACCCCAAAAAAGCTGCTATAGGGCCAGATTTCAGGTTTTGTTAATGGCAGCCCATATGCTGCCTTCAACAAAAGGAGTTACTTGCTGAAAACGGGCAGCTCCCGTAGTAACTAAGCTGCTGCATTCTGTACTAGCTGCCAGACCAAACTTAAGGACATCAGAACAGAAACAGATTTGATCATGGACACTTCCATTTGTTGCATTTATGTACTGTCAAATCATCTCCAACCTATGTCTACTCTATGAATGAGTGTCCTCTAAAATGTCCTGTCTTTGACAGCTTGACTCAGCAACTGTAAACTTAAAGCTATGGCTTCCTTTATGAAGCTGATCCATCTCATATTTGGTTTTCCCCTTTTCTTCTTCCTTTGACTTTCTCTAGTATTATTGTGTCCTTGGGGAATTATGACTTCGGAAGAGGTCCGCAAAGTACAACAGCCTCAATACCATCACTTTTGCTTCCAGAGCAATTTCTGGTTTGATTTACTTTGGGACCCACTTCTTCATCTTTCTGTCAGTACAGGGTATTCACAAAGCATTCCCCCAGCGCCATTTTCCAAATGCATCAATTTTCTTCCTGTAGGCTTCCTCGCTGTTCTCTTTTACACCCATGCACAGTGAATTTTCCTCACCTTTTGAGAACAATCTATAGCACACAGCATCCACATTCAGCACTCATCCCCTTGCAGAACCATGCCTTTCCAGCTGAGCAAGAGTGACACAGCCTACTAGCTGTTTCACAGCTGTAAGTCTAGGTATGCTTCCATTAGGGATGTTTTTGTTGTACAATCACACTGCCTCATTCCCAGAAATTTACCAGGGGTCCAGACAAATGGTATTTTCAGGTTTTCTCACTGCATTTTGTACCTATTTCCCCATAGAAAATTCAGTAACGAGCAAATAGTGGAATGGCTGTGCTGTACAATACCAGTTTATTGCTTGATCTAGAAGCGGTCCATCTGGAGGAACTCTAAAACTGACAAGTGAAAACACTTGTAAGGCTATGGCTAGGAAGGAACCTAGAAAACTCAATTTGCTAATTCTAATTTTGCTACTAATAATTCTGAAATGAATGTCATTACCACAAGGTGGCTCCATCTTGCTTTCCAGTAAAACCAACTCTATTCACATATTCACTCCCTTCTGTATCTGTATTTCCAGCTCTAGCAAAACATTTTCTCAGTGAAATGCAGCTAAAAAGTAAACTACTTTCACAGAAAACCTGTCATAATTTTTTTAGTGAAGTTTTTTTAAAATACAGGTCAAGATATGACCAGTTTGATTGCTGCGAATCCAGCAATTTTGCTGAAGGATATTAATACTTCTTAAAGTGCAGCATTACTCATATCTGGTTAGGAGTAAGACCCATGGAGTTCGGGATGCAACCTCTATATATGGATGTGCAGCAGCATTTCCTCCAGATGTTTTCAACTGCAGCTTCCAGCTTTGACCATTGCTCAGGCATCTGGAGGACACTAGAATTGAGAGGGCTGGTGCATGAAATTGCAGCCAAAATGAGTTTGGATTGTTCCCTGGTAATTTTCTTACAGGTAAGTTTAGAAAGCACAGCTATGCATGGAATAATTAGAGGCACTCAGGGTGGCAATCTGAAGGAGAAATTTAGTTGCAGTCTAAGCAATTTAGGATGCAATCCTATGCATGAAAAGGGTCTACAACTGCCATCATTGCTGGTGTTGGGTCTTTTTTCTGACTAAACATGGGGTTGTGCCCTCAATTTTGGAAAGAACAGAGACTTAAATTGCTTCCAGGAAAAGTGTTTATTGTGCACTCCACCTTCCTCATTCAAAAAAAGAATTAGACATTTTGTCCCCTGTTTGTGACCCTCCTGTTTTCCTATTGCTTCTTCCATTGTTTTTCTTACCACAGAAAGTCAGATGGTGTATGACAATGTTGAATAGCTGTATGCTGTCTTAATTTATAGCACCAAGAGATGTCCAATTTGGAAGTTACACCTCTGTGGGATTCCTCTGTGGGAATCTGCCACATGTGTGTGTGTGGGTCCCGAATATTACCAAGACACCAGAAGAATACAGTACACTGTCATTCAAAGCAAACTTCGGCTGAGGTACTATACACAGTAACTATACGCAGAAATAAGTTGCATTGTACACAGGACTTCCTTCCGGGTAAACACAGATATGGAATTGTACTCTCAGCTGCAACACTATGCACACTTACATAGGAACTCGGGGGCACTTATTTCTATGTGAGCATGCTAACGATCAGGTTGCAGATGCAGTGCTCTTCTCACGTCTTATAAAAATGGTGAGCACACAGCAGTAATGAATACACCTGTTTCTTTTTCGGGTTGCAAGGGGGGAAATTCTCTTGAAATAACCCCAGTCTTCTTCAGCCTCCTCCAAGAAGAAAGCCGACCGTACGTTTCTATTCGTGTCTACTGAGAGCTAAATCCCATCCTGTTGTGACTTAACTCTCGGGTAAATATACATAGGATCGCTGCGTGTGAAATATTTAGGTCACTAGAGTGACTTCCTGAGGTTTGGTCGGAGTAAGGGAGATTGACATTCCAGGCACGATCTGGACCGCAGCAGTTTTGCAATATGACACGCAAAGTTTCCGCTTGCCCGGCGATAATATCACTGCATTGTGCAGCATACGCGAGCCTCCTCGTTCCCTTTTCTCAGCAGTGACAGCGCTTTATGGCGGGGCAGCCAGTGACCCAAGGTGCGAGCTGCCGGGAAAGCCCACAGAACTGCAAGTCCCGGCAAGCAAGGCGAGCGAAGGGAGGAGGAGGTGGAGAGGGTGGTGGCTCTACCACCCTGGGCGCGCTGATCAGAATGTGCCGATTCACCGTCCGCCTTCGCCGCGTTGTCTGCTGGGGTTTGTAGTTTCCAAAAGACAGCGCGGTTACCAGGGGCAGGTTCAGCCTTAATGCATCTTGGGAGGTGTAGTCGAGACGGGTGGGGAAACCAGCGGCGGCGGCGGCGCTGGCGCTGCTTCCTGGCCAAGCTTGGGGGCTCCGCATCGGCGAAGCAGCCTTCCCCAACCTTCAGGTATTATGCTGCTGCCCTAAACGCAGTTTACGCCGCTTGCTCCTCCTTGCCTGCTTACCTGCCCCGCGCGATGCGACCGACTCGCTTCCTACCTCGCCTTCTTGGTTGGCAGAAGAGGCGAGTCGAGATTATTTGGGGCAGTGGGGTAAAGCTTGCGGGGGCAGAGGGAAGCGCAGGTGGCCAAAGGGTGGAATTAGGTGCCTGAGGACGTTCCGGGCCAGGGCACAGATCCCGGACAGAACTGAGGGAGGAGGGGGGCTGATGCTTTGGTTCTGCCCCGGTGAAATCAGGGTAGGCTTCTGTACAGATGGACTTGTGGGGGAACGGTCTTTCCCGCTCGCCATTCCATCGCGGTCTCCCACCTTCACTCGCTGCGAATTTGCAGACCAAACGTGGCTCTGGCAAGGGAGAATCAACTCCCTTCAGAAGAAGGAATGATCGTCAAGTCCAAAACGAAAGCAATAACAGGCATTCTGCAACACCTTAAGGCAAAAAAGCTCAAGCTCTTCTTCGGATGCCTGAAAAGTTAAGAAACAGATAGGGTATAGAGAGTGTTTGAAAAGTAATGTTGTAGGACAGTTTACAAACGTAAAAAGCCATGAAATACAAGAGATTCATCCGTGGAAGTCCAAAAATCTCTTGAATCGCATTGCCTTTTGACCCCACTGTTTGCACTATCTTCTAGTTGTTTATGTATCCCGAGTTATATATATGTTTTCTTGTCTAGCATAGCATTTCACGTATCTGATTAAGTGGGCCTTTAGTCTATGAAAGCTTCTGCCGTAACAAATGTGTTAGTCTTCTAAAGTGCCACCAAACTTTTATTTCTGACTGTTTCCTTGCCACACCTGCTGTGTCTCCTCCTCTCTTTCCCACAACAGACTGGTGTAACTGCCCACATGGGCTTTGTTTTTCATACCATGCAATAATAGCATGATTGTCAGGCACGCTTTAAAAGCAGCAGCAGCAGCAGCAGCAAGGAAATGCTTAAAAAAATAAAAAAGCATGTGACCATGGAAAGTCACATATGCTCACGTACATCTCTACGTAGTTTGTTTTCTAGTGACATCTGAAATGCCTGATGTTTTGTTGTTAATTGCAGAGTCCCTTCTGAATGGGTAGCTGTCTGGGAATGGGGTGGGCATGCTGCTCCTCAGTGGTAAGCCAGGGTTTCTCAGAACTCTGCAGTACTATTACGTGTGAACTGTTTTCTTGCATCATGACAACTATCAAGCGATGCTCCGAGTGATTTGATTAGTCAGCTGCCACTTGAATTATACATGATTCCAGTTGTAGGAGAGAAGTTTGGAATGATATAAATCGTGCTGCTTTAATCGCATCTGATGATTTAGAGATCCTGGAATCCACTCCATTAAAGCATTTTTGTCATGTGGTCATCACTTTGGAGAGAAGTAACATCAAGGCTGTTACTTTTTTCTGCATTTCCTCTTCTGTGATGTTGCTGTGGATCCTGTTCATGAATGCCTACCAGTATATATGTTACCTCCAGTGCTGGAAGCAGTATGCCAGGGAACAAAAGTGGGAAGGTGCTGCTGCCCTTATGTCCTGTTTGTGGGCTTCCCGCAGGATCCTTGTTGGCCACTGCATAAGCAAAATGCTAGATAGATGCACTTTTGGTCTGCTGTGGTGTGGCTCTTTGTATGTGCTTTGTATGTATTTTACATGAATATAAAATTTAGTTATTCCAAAAAGCCTGAAATTCAAAACATGAATAAAATTGTTTTAGTACTGATGTTCTTTTTAAAAAACCTCAGACATAATTGTTTACTTTCTGCACTGGATGGTTCAATGACTCTTGTAGTAAAATGTGCATTAGAGAGCTATATTAAACTTTAATACAATAGATTAAAATAAGTGCACATCTTTCTTCAATATCTTACCAAAATTACTATTTTGGCACTGTTGCTTTCTACATATACTGTTCAAATATATGCTAAAATACACTAGTATTTAAGTTCTTTTATAAAATCTGGTACATTCTGAATTTCTGGCACATTCAGCTTATATTTCTATATGAAATTATTACCTTTTCTATTTTCCCTAATATTGTTATGGAGTAGAAATCTTAATATTTTAAAGAATATTGTGATGGGAATATCAAAACACAATTAAGCCCTACTTCATTCTGTTTCCAGATAATTGAAGGAAAGTTTAATACGTGAGAACTTCCTAAAATCTACAATCAGAAAGGATCAATTAGTTTAAGCTTTCTTATGAAGAATGGCTACTCCATATGTTCCTGTTCCAATTCCTATAGGAAACTCTAATTTTACCACAAACAGAAACCAAAGAAGATCATCTCTTGGGAGTATTTCAACGTGTTCAGATTCTTCAAAGGGGCAGTTGGAGGACTCTTCAAACAGTAGTTTTAAAATGATGAGTGTCCCTGATGAGATCGGGGCTACTTCATCTCCTTGTAATAGCCCACATGTCAGGACTAAATTTATAGGTACGAACACATCTATGGAATATTGCAGTCAACCATCAGAACAAACTGAGCAAAATACAGACTCTGGAAGCTGGGAAGACCGGCCTGCAACACCTACAATACTAGGCTATGAAGTGATGGAAGAAAGAGCAAAATTCACAGTAAGTTGTATTGCTTCCCTCTTAAAAATAGTTTAATCGCCAAAGGCAATATCCAGTGCCATAGCTACATTCCCATTCATTCTGCTGAAACAGTGGTACCCACTGCTTATGCAATAAGGAGTCAGCACTTTGTAAAGGAACTGCTTCTTTCTCGATTAGGGCAAGTAGGGGCACAGTGTTTTGGTGGCAACTCATTTTACTTATCATAATTTGATAATCATTAAAATGTTAGCCCCAGCCATATATATCTAGTTTGGTTGGCTTGTGATTCTAAGGAAATATAGTTAGTTAGAAATGTGGGGAACTTTCAGAAAGCTGCTATTTTGTGCAAGCATCTTTTAAGAAACTGGAAAGTTGAATTCCATAAATTGGTTTATCCTGAAGGTAGTAAATACTATACTAGTAAAGACCATGCCAGTGGTAGACTTACACGAAACATTTTTGTTTCAAACTTGGGTAAACATTGGCAGGCTTTGATAACAGTTGTTCCTTTTCTCAAACAAAGAATGATTATGTCAGCCTTCCAATAATTACAGTGAAATATGAGTAGCTTGTGCTGCTCACACTATTTATTGCAGCTGCTTTAATAGCCTTTGTTTTTGTTGAACAGGTTTACAAAATCCTTGTTAAGAGAAATCCAGAAGAAAACTGGGTAGTTTTCAGAAGGTATACAGACTTCTCCAGGCTGAATGATAAGGTATGTAAGTTTAAAGAAGCCAAGATCAACAGTTATTAATGTTCCAGATTAAAGTTTAGGATCAGATTCAACTTCTTTGTTGTGCCCTTTAAATGGATACCACTAGTAGAATGGAGCTTCTCCATCTTCTCCTTTCTGCATCCCATTGAATCCACTTAGATCCTTCCAGCTGACTATGCAATTATTAGAAGCCCAATTACATGTAGAATGCAGTTTAAAAGCAATTTGGAATGGACAGCCCCAGAGCAAGTTCTCTTCTTGGACCATGATTGCTCTGGGAAAAATAGAAAATATGGACAGAGGCAAAGGGACCTAAGAGAAGGAGGGAAGGAAAGGAAGCTTAGGATTGCTGTGGGCTGAAACTGCTGAAGTACCTCAGCACAGTGCCCTAAGTTTAAAGCTGGGAAGAAAAGAAAAAAAAAACCTTAAAGACTGCATTTTTAACAGACCATCACCTCACTGTAGAGGCTAGGTCACAGAGACACACAGTCTCACAAATGCATATATGTATCAAGTTGAGGTCCCCTTCCACTACCCTTTATGACAAACAACTGGGTTGCATGTATATGAGAGAGAGAGAGAGAGAGAGAGAGAGAGAGAGAGAGAGAGAGAGAGAACTGTGTGATCCTACTTAAAATATCCATTCAAAATGCAGCACTGAGCATTTCAGTGGCAGTGAATATCTGTCTGAGTAAAAAACAACAAGAGATACAGCTGTGTAAGTTAGCAATGTGGTACAAGTAAGGAGAAAGGAACTCTGGCATGGTAAATGTGGTTTAAACAGCAGAGAAAAGATTGACATGATAACTCACACTCAAGGGTTGTTATTCTTGAATTGTATGTTGTTGCTAAAATTATCATGTTGTCTGAACAAAGGTGGGGTAACAGACTTTTAGCCATGAACAACCCCTGAAAAGATCCCATGGTTGTTGGGTTATGAATTCTAGGTTGTTTGTGGTTAACAAACCATTGCTTTTTATCACAGCTGGGTTCAGACAAGCTGTTTCAACAACAACCCATAGATTAGCAATAACCCTAATCCTAACTCATACTCAAGCCTTGAGTGTTGGTTACCATATTGTCTGCACCAACCACTGTGGGAGACTTGGGGAGATCTTGGAGCCCACTCTGGGCTTCACAACCAAAACAGAGACAAGTGACCAGGTTCTGGGGCAGTTATAGCGCACATCAGGACAAAAATTCTGGGCATTCTCAGGATGAAGTTAAAACAAAAAGTACAAAAAAATGTCTGTAGAGGTCACCAGAGGTGCACTGAGCTAAGGCTAAGTATTACAAAAGCACACTTCCAAGAGATAATTAGATAGAGTTCCTAAAACAAAAGGCACCTCACAGGGTGTCCAGGTAATACTTTGTCCTGTCTACCTCCACTTCAAGACTGGTTTTTCACCAAGGCTTTAGACTGGTAATTTAAACATGCTTTTGTGGGTTGCCTCACTAAGGTGCTGAGCAGTAAGACACATTGTATTTATCCTGAGTTCACATACTGTTAAATGTTTGTACCTCTTAACTCAACTAGGGTAGAGACCATACAGGTCAGGATCACCAAATACAACTAAGGCAGATACCCTGTTATCCTCCCATCAAGAACCCCCTGTCCTAGTTCCCATGAGACTTTTACCCGTGCAACATAACCTAGAACAAAATGATGCCAAAACAAATACAAAATCCAACCTACATATGTAGGAAAGTCATCAAAGCTGAGTTTCTGTGTAACAAACTTCAGTGCTATATTGTCTAAATAAAGTGTCATTTTTACTCTCATAACTTCCTGTTTAACTATTTTAGCTGAAAGAGATGTTCCCTGGTTTTCGATTGGCACTTCCACCAAAGCGCTGGTTCAAGGATAATTACAATCCTGACTTCCTGGAAGATAGACAGCTGGGACTGCAAGCATTCCTGCAGAATTTAGTAGCTCACAAAGATATTGCAAACTGGTATGTGATCTTCATCTTCCTATATCTGTGATTAACTTATTCAAACAAAGGAGTACGTTCCTTTTAGGTGTTGGATCATTTTGCTGATTGTTGGTTTGAGCTCTGCTAGCCACACATTCAGAATTTTACTGCTACTTTTGAGCTTTTGAATGTGAATAATTGAATTCATTGCTGTATCTGAAGAATTCCAAAGTGTAGGAAGTTAAGTGGACTTAAATGACCACAAGGCAAGTCAGTTCAAGTTGCAAAAGCAGTTTTGAAAGGAAGTCTGGAAAAATAGTTCAAACAGCTACATTCTAGCAAAAGGTGGAAAGAGTTTTTGTTGCCGTTTGGAGGTAGAAAACTGGATGAAGGCAAGAATGTATCTGTGTGAAAATAGCTGCTTTTTAGTTGTGTGTACTGTGGTTATGTAACTCTAAAACAAACAATGAATGGAATGCCCTCTATCCTGTCCTGTATTTGTGATATGTTTCCTAAGAAGTGGTTGTGTGGGCAATACTTAAAAGTATGAATATTTGAGTCCATGGTCTTCTATTCTGAAACCATGTTTCATTTGCTTATATTTGAATTTCTGGAATAAACAATGTTGAAGGATGTATGGTCTGAGATATTTGCTATTGGGCAGCAAAATGAATTTGAAATGTGAACCCAGAGACACCAGTGTTCTGTTTCTCTGAGCTTCAGTTTGTTAATAGTAGCTGGATGGGTGCTATTTTAGATGGGTAATTATTTTAGAATCTGATTTGATTGTACAGGGTGGAAGATTCAAGTAACAACTATTTCAGAGTAAATTAGAAAGTGGTTAGAGAAGCAGATTGCCTCTGACATGCTTTCTGTATACTTATGTGGAATAGCAAAAAAGAAATGGCCGAAGTGATTGTTCCTTAGTTACTTTATTTTCTTTTAGTTGTACGATGTATGAAATTTTTGACCATTTGTGTTTTTAGAAAAGGATGTCATCCAGTAACATATTTGAGAAATCTTACAGCATTTGAATGTATAGCTTTGTTGCGGCACTAGTCACTGTAGGCCAACTTTCCCCAACCTGGTGTCCTCTAGATGTGGTAGACTACAATGCCTAAGATGCAGCATCCTAGAATGTATAGCCCGACTCATCTGAAGGACACCACATTGAGGAAACCTGGTCTAAGGTTTGCATCTAATGTAATACCAATTTAAGTCTAGTTCATTTCAGTAGGTCTGGTCAAAGCAGGACAAACATTTGATACAGCTGTTAGTACCAGCTGGTCCAGAATAAATTGTAGAGCGGGATAGGCAATAGCAAAAGATCGAGAGACTATTTTCACAGGCACAAGCCATAAGCCAATTTAATAAATGTCATCTGTAGAAGCTAATTTTGACCCATTTAGGAATCAATTTAGGTTATGAATGCCATTTTTTTCAGGAAAATTAAATCTATGGTCTCAAATAGCAGGGAGTTCTCATGTTGCCCACCTCTGTTGGAGAGCAAGGTTCAGCATGAGTTTTTACTTGATTTTGTTGAGATGTTTGCATTTGATTTCTTTTAATGGGAACTAAAATATCTGAGACACAATTAATTCTGTATTTATCTGTAATATTGTAAATATGCCCACTAATGTCCGAATAAAACAAATTTTTTAAAACTGTTCTGCTTATCGAAGAGATAATGAATATTTATACCAATGCATAACAACACTGCTAGTGAACTCATAGAGTGTTTCCAAATTCTTGTCAGGACTACCCACACATCTTACATCAGAATAAATGTTCTCTTCAGTGTTTTCTTCCTGGCATAGTGCCAAGCAGTGACACGTGCTGCGTGTTCAGGACTGTGTGAGCCACTTCTCTTGACAATATGTCAGATAAGATTTGATTAGTGAGGTTCTTTACGTTATGTTGTATTGTAATAATGTGTTGATTATTTCCCTTTTAAATGCTTTGGACAGGTCAAATGAAAGCCTGCTAAGTCTTTGTGCTATATGTTATAAATATAGGCTCATTAACCTTAATAATAAGGGCTTTCCAACAAACCAGCATGCCTACGAAACAGTAAGTCCCCTTGAGTCCCATGGGGCTTACCCTAAAATAAGTGTGTGTAGGATTATGAAGGGTTGTAATGACAATGCACCAAGGTGAAGAACCCAATTCTGGCCCTCTAGGCTTCTGCAGAGAGCCATGCCTCTTTCCACCAACCCTTTTCAGCTGCTCCAACTGCCCGAATGTGGCCCCTGAAATCTTCTGCAAAATGGAATCTGGCCCTCAGGCTGAAAGAGAGGCTGCAGCCCTGGTTTATACAACCTTTCTGCTTCAGGTAGGAGCCTTATCTAGTCCCCAGTGGATTCAAGTAAGTTCAGCCTTTCATGAATCCAACCCACATATTCTACAGTGGACTTGCTTTTTCTCAGTGGATTCTGTAGATGTACGACCATTTGGTCTCTGCTAGTTTGTTTACTTTCCAAGAATTATATACAAATTTTATATATAAATTATATACAAATACAAAAATATGAAGCATATACAACCACTGACCAAAAATGCACATTATCCCCCACTGGTGATAGGCTAAAGCATGAAAGTGAGCAAAGAGGTGCTTAGTTAATGCAGATGAGCACATTATTGCACATGCATGAGTGCACTTTAGCACACATGTGGATTAGTGTAAGTAAAGCAAAATGTACCTATAAAATATCCAATTTGATCAGTGAGCAGATGCTGTAAGAAAAAGCGTTTGACCATGAATAAAACACAGATGGAACAGATTTAACAAAAAAAACAAAAAAAAAATCCTCATCTGAATACATTCATTAAAAGGTGTTTTCAGCAAAACATATCAGAATACACAAGACACAAACTGTGTACAGTGTTTAGTACATTGGCATAAAGAAACTTAGCTCAAACTAAAGCCACTCCCCTCTGTTCATGAATATATGCATTTGGAGAATGTGGAAGCGAGAGGAAGGTGTTAAACCTGTAAAGCCAATGCCTAGATTATTAGATTTCCTTCTCAGGAGCTGGGCAAGAATTGTAACTCCACACTATCCTGGAGGGAAATCTAAAATTGAAATTCAGTTCTCTGCTGTTGCTGGTTTGCATAGAATAGAAAGGCAAATGCATATATGTGTTTTTCCCACTGGGCTAGCTGGAGCTTTCTATGCAAGACACACACCTTCATCTGCTATTAGTATTGCCTATCTACCAGCTTGCATTTAAACTGCTTTTCATCATTTTCAGTCTTTCCGAACCCAAACATTAAAGGATAATTCTCTTCCTCATGGGCACTCCATTATGATTTTAAAACGGAGAGAGAGGCCAAAATTGCATTTACTTTCTTAAAACTTCCCAAATGAAATTTGAAAAGCACTTGTCATTATGGACTTTGACAAAAATACATTTAGTATTGCAGCCCGAATCATCTGGCTGTGTATTAAACATTGGATTAATTATGGAGTCTAATTGATGGGTCATACCTAAGGTATGTCTGGTCCAGCATCTAATTTCCAACATTTGGGCAATCAATTCCTTCCGGGCAGCTCTAAATAAAGGTCATAAAGGCAAGGGCTCTCCCCTGGTTTTTGTTACCAGAATCCATTATTTAGATATACTGTCTCTGACCAAGAAGTTTCCATGGATATCTTTAAATTTCTGGTTCATTCTTAAATGTGACTGTGTTACATAGTTTACAAAAACAAATATTTGCACTGGGTGAGGGAGCTTTTTCCCTAGTAAATGTTTCTTAGATACATGGTACAGTAAATGTGGTTATGGGTACTAGCACAGCCAAAGGCTACACTGCAGACAAGGTTATCTGACTCTGTTACAAAATAGACCAATTGATTCATAAATAGCTTTACAGAAGTGCTTGAATGCAAGGGCTATGCTTTTTATTATTGTTCTCCCATGAAAAAGCTTTACATTAGTCACTTAGGATAAGCATTCTGTAGCTTAATATTATCAAAATTGTTCTTAAACTCAGTTGTTCAGTCTAAATGTGTTACAAAGCATGGAAATCAAGGGTGAAGACTACAGTGCAGAACAGCAGTGCTTTCATGTCATAAGCTGTTCTGTGATGGCCATTTGCAACCTCATTCTGCATCTTTTCAAAACAGCAGTTCAACCATGAACAGAAGGCCCACCATAATATAACCATGACTGGAAAAGGTCAGCTGTTAGAACTGTCAAATGAAGCAAAAAAGCATTGTTTCCTTTTTTCTAGGCATTTTTCTTGAATAAATATTATTTTAATATTTGCAAACAGTCAAACCTGGAACCTTACAGATATGATGATGATGATGATGAAACAGCCTTTCTCAGCCTGCTGCTCTCCAGATGTATTAGGGTACAGCTCCCAGACAGCCTCCCCCATCCTCATAGTGGGAATCTACCAAAAGATCTGGAAGCACCGGGTTGGCAAAGCCTCTGTAGTGTAATAGAGTAATTTGCTGACTCTATTTTATTGTCTTAGCAATAAAGAGCTCTGGTTTTTCCCAGTCTATAAATGCAAACTCTGCAGCTGTTGGGTAGGAGTGCCACAGGGATACCATTATAAATTCCAGAACTCTAAGCACAACTGTGGTACATTTTTGTTCTTTAAAAAAGCACATCTATTTTGCTTTTAAAATATTTTTTAAATGATTTCACCCCCCCACCCAAAACAACAACCACAACAACAACAACAAGAACTTATTCTGAGGTATGGAAATAGGCAGAAGTGAGAGTGAAGCCATTCTCAGAATTTCTTGCCTGAATTGCCTCAATGTTGACATTTCAAACAGCCTCACTAGTAGACAATTTCTAGTAGTCCAAAAGACATTGGAAAAGGGATAAATTTCTCTTTAAAAGAGATAAAAAAGATGATACCAGTTTAACAGCAGCTTTGTGGGTTATTGCCTGCTTTTGTGCATGACTTGAGAAAAATCAGGAAAGAAAATAGGTTAATCCCAATAGGTTAAATACCTGCAAATGAGATTGAAAAGGTAACTTGGGGCACAATCCTATACATGTTTAGACCGTCCTACAACTCCGAGCATGTAGAACTATTTTTCTGGCTAAACATGCATAGGATTGCACTCTTGCTAGCCCTTTTGCCAGTGTGTACCAGGCAAGTTTTTGTGGCACAAAAACTGTCGTTCTCAATTCCTTTATAAAAGCCTCCTTACCTGTTTGCCTTGAAACAGCCTTTATTGAACCCAAGGACATAGGCAGATGGCCATTTAGAAAGTAAAAAAATATTATGCACCCCTGAGTTGAACCACAAGTACAGTCCCACTGGGAATGCCCAGAGCAGCTTTTTGCCAAACAGTTGCTTTATACAGACACTGTTTTGGATTTTTTTCTTTTGAAGAATGAGTACTTAAGGTGTACAAGTATTCTAAGGTGCTTTTGATATTCCCCTGGTTTTAAAAAGCATTTTACCATGTACTAGTAAAGCTCCAGTGTCTCCATGAGTATATAAGATTAGTTAGCAGCTCTTTGCTGTTTTGTCTCTTCGTGTGTATGTTTAAATTACATATGGCTTTTACATTTTTTATAGAAAGTGAAAGAGAAGAAGCTTCACTTTTTAAAATAGGCAGGAGTACATAATGAATGGAGTAAAAGTTGAAGGGACACTTCTATGTCTGTCAATTTATGATTGGGCAGTACTTGTGCTGCCCAAGAAGCAGTGGAGCCAACATCCAAAACAAGTGGTAATGTGAATTTCCGAAATGGGACAGATCGGTGAACTCACAGAACAGAGGTCCACTGACCTGTTTCAATCTGGAAATAGTGTTTCTGCATATTTTGGGGGTTTCTTTATGGAGCAGTAACTCCTTCTGCAGAAGTTGCTTCTTTCGAGAGCAACATTGCATTCTGTGCGCATTTCCACAGTGAACTGCTGTTCAGCATTTAGGATATTCTGTTGTGGATGCCAATGTCATCTGTTTTTCCATTTTTTTCAAAGCCTTGCAATAAGGGAGTTTCTTTGTCTGGATGATCCTCCAGGACCATTTGATAGTCTTGAAGAAAGCAGGGTAAGTTTAATGTTGTTGGTTTTTTTTTTTTTTTAGTTAGCACAAAATTCTTTTAACTTCACTGTTACATTTGAGATTTATCATCTGGTGACTTTATAATAGGATGGACATCTATTTCAAGCAGCAGCAACATGTCTGCCACATAGGGAAAAAAGGATCAATCGAATAATCTATGGACTGTAGGTAAACACAAAAAGCCAAAATGCATGAAAGCAGCAGGGAAATGGAGATCACTAATTACTTGGAAGATGTGAGGGGGAAAGACTGGGGAAGTAGTACGGAATGTCACATGATTTCTCCAATTCTTTAACTATTATTTAATTTCAGATATTTGATTTAGCCTCTCTCCAATATATTTTAATTTTTAATGACCTGTATGGTTCTGCTGAGTACGTAATTCATCACACAGCTTCAGTTTATTGATATATCTGCTTCTAGGATCTGGTCCTTTTGCTTGATCACTTCTGCACATACTCTCTTTGGCATCTGCATTTTTGCAGAACTGCAAGAAAGTTCTCTTCGCTGGCTTTCTTAAATTAAGGACAAATATTCAATCACAATTGTAGCTCCTGAGTTTTCATTGTTTCTTGGTTGTCTCTGTGCTCTTATGCTGTCAAATATAGGATACTTTGTCCTGAACCTGCCTTATACAGAATCAGGCCATTGGTTCATCTAATCCTTGCTGTATACACAGACTAGCAACAACTCTCCAAGATTTCAGGCAGAGTTCTTTCTAGCCCTACCTGCAGAAGTTGAGGAGTGAATCTTGGAACGTCCTTCATTCAAAGCAGGAACTCTACCCCTGAGCCACCACCCTTTCATAGCATCAGATCATGTGGCTTTAGTGTTTCCTTTTGCCATTTGATTTTGCAAATAATGCAAAATTGAGTTCCTGAAATTAAAAGATTTCCTATCTAGAATAATTAGACTACTGAATATTTGCAGATTTAAACATTGCTGCTTGTGGACAATTTCTAGCACATATTAATAAGCTTCTTGTTAGACTGACACTATTGTCTTGAACTGGATAAAATGCTGCTATTGAGATAACTTGGAGGCTCATGTTCATCCAGCACAAAATGGGAGAACAGCAGAAGCAATTTTTGCCTTCCTGCGTCTCCCCCTCTTCATTTTTGGTAGATTGCTGCTTCCAGAGAGCTGCTGAAAGCATTTCAGAAATGGTGGGGAGGTGGCTGGAGCAATTTCGGAACGTCTCTTAATCTGGCCACCCCAGTCTCCTTCCTTCCTTCTCTTCCCAGTCTCCTTCCCTGCCTCCTTTAACTTTTCTCCAAGGTCACTCCCACAACACCTCTCTGAGGGTACTTTCCCAACTCAAAGAACAATCGGCACATTTCTTTCCATAACCAGGCACAAGCGAGTGGTAGACAGCGACCGGAGCACCAGTTCCGAGCTCTGAGATCAGAGCGCTGCCTCTAATCTTGGAACTCAGAATCTGAATTATCCTGCAGCCTCTTGGAGAAGGTCTAGGCACCATAGGCTCATACCCCAATGTACTTTAATTTCCACTAATTCTGGATTTCCTGAATACATTGCTAAAATGGATCTACAGTTGGGAGCATTAAGTCTGTACCAGCCCCTTGTGAATGCATGGTTAACTGAATGTGCTACAACACTAAATTAGGAACACTGCTAAATTGCAATGTTTCTTTTGTTAGTTACATCAGCAATAAATTATAAAATGCAGACTCGTCGTTGCTTTCACTTAAGAAAAAGGAGAGTAGGCTTTCAATCAGTGCTTTGTAGCTTCCCAGACCAAATGATTTTCTTTGCCTTGTGCCTCACAATGTGCCTGATGTGCCTCTTGTGAGGACTTCTTACATACACTGAAAATGTAGAAGTGGTAAGAGGAAGGGCTAGGCGACAGAAAATATATTGACTGCTGTCCGACAGTATCTCAGAGGTAACGATATTAGGGCCTCTGCAGAATTAACTCTTGCATTTGTCATATCAAGAAGATAAGTGGGAAAAAACATTTCTGTGTATCTTAAAGCAGTCTTATCTACTTTGGTGCTCTCCACATTTAGACAGCCCAGATTGGAGAATGCTGCCTTACCTTTCACTCCCTGACAATCCAGATCCAGCTGTTCCACCTAACACTTGGTTGGAAGGCAACAGTACTGTGTTAGAATACCGTTCTTGTTTTTGCCTTTGTTCTTACCTTACAGTATGTTTTCAACAGGTTTGTGCCATGTCCTTTCATAGAGAATTGCCTACTTGATCAGCCTCATGTTTACAGATGCTCACATATGCAAAATTCATGTGAATCAGCTTGATCATTAGTCTTACTAGGATATACATCCCATATAATTAATGGGATTTAACTTCCCAGTAAATATATATATATGATTGAGTCATTAGTTGGAATAGTATCTCTTTGGTGCAATGAACTCATGGGTCAGTATCCAATGCAACACCACGATTGATCTAAGTTACATTGTGATAGGGTAGACTACCTCTAGCACAACTCCAACAGTGTTTGCAAGTCCAGCAGGTTTCCTGGAAAACCCGTCAAACCAACAAGCACTATTGATGTTGCACTTGCAATCATTTACACCAGTGCAACATAATTTATATTAACAGTAGTGTCATAGTGGCTAGTGCCCTTGGGATCTAGAATTTTGCATAACATGTAAAACATCAAATACCTTTTTTTTTCCATTTTTTTATTTTTGGTGCAGGGTCACAATATTTCCAATACAATGGTACCTCGACTCGCAAACAAATCAGGTTACGAACAAAAATTTCATAAAAATTTTGACTCAGGTCGCGAACTCCACATTGGATGGTGACTGCAATCGCAGCCATTCCCCCCCCCCCCCCCCAAGTGGGAGGCTGGGGGGGAGATGGCCGAGATTCCACCCGTCTTTCCTTCAGGAGCACGCCAGTGATTGCGCCTGTCTTTCCTGCATGAGCACAATCGCGATCTCGGCCATCTCCCCCACAGCACGATTGTGCCCCCCCCCAGCACGCCTGCGTTCATGCCCGACTCCCCCCTCCCAGTGCACTGGGATGACGGGCGTGTGCAGGGATATGTCCGTGATCTTTGTTGTTCTTTGTCACTTTGCTTCTTCACATTTTTCTGATTTAAAATAAATAGTTACAGAACGAATTAACCTTATTTACATTGAACCTTACGGGAAATTTAACTTGGCTCACAATCAATTTGGGTCACAACCACAGTCCTGGAACGGATTAAGTTCGTGAGCCAAGGTACCACTGCATTTATATTATCAGGCAGTGCAGAAACACAGAATGATGGCCAGAGCCCAGTGGTAAATACTGGCGTAAATACTGGTGAATGCATTAAATACTGGAGGGTGGCAGCAGGACCATAATAGCAATAGTCGGTGTGGTCTGGTGCGTAGAGTGTTGGTCTGGGGATCCGGGTTCCAGTCCATGTTTAGCCATGCAGCTCACTGGGTGACTTGGGGCAAGTCGCTCTGACCAACCTCTCAAGATTGCAGTTGTGCGGATAAAAATAGCGCGGTGACCTTAAATTTCTTGCAAGAGGGAACATAATAGAATACAAATGCATTGTGATGGTGGTAGCGGTGTTGGTGCTGGTGTGCGGGAGTGGAGGAGGGGGAGGAGGCTACGGAATGTAATTTAAAAAACCTTATTATAGAAATGTCATCCTCTAACCACAGTAAGAGTCACCTATGCGCTTTGTTTTCTCAAGCTTTAGCTGAAAATATCAGCATTTTCAGGTCATTTTCAAAAGCACATTCAGTCAGACATTCATTTTCTTCCTCTAGGATGGGGAAGGCATGTGGGTGTTCAGAAGATTTTGCTGTTGTAAAATTTGCAACAGAAGCCATATGTTTAGCTCCTGGGCATTTTTCTGGATCCCTTCGGGCAAACTCATGTGTCTGCCTTGATGTGCCTGCAAAATATTGACACTTCTTACAAGATGTCTCTCATTCTGTGGTGGAGATCTTTTCAAACCTCAGGTGCCTGTTAAGGTCATTCTGAACATCTTTTGCAATGTGCGCTGTAATAAGATCTGTATGAGCCATTTACTTGTCATGTGCCAGAGTCACCACAAGAGTATTCCCATACAAAAATGACAGGCTGGTAGTCACTTCAACGAGTTGTGGTACAGTGGTACAGCAGTGTTTCTCAGTGCCTGGAAATCACAGTTTAGTTATGTGCTATGCACTGTGAACCCTAAAACACTAAAACTCACACAAAGCATGCTATGTGAACACTGAAACTTAAAATATTACAGTAAGGAAATAATGCATAGGAAAATAATGGAATCAGGGTCAAGTCTTTTACATTTCCTGAACACCTATTATTTCCAAAATGGTTTGCTTTTCTCTTTCTCACAGGCTTTCTGTGAGACTCTGGAGGAAACAAACTACCGTCTGCAAAAGGAACTTTCTGAGAAACAAAAGGAGGTGGAAGCTCTAAAAAAATTATTAAATGAAAAAGAAGAATACATTGATGCTATGGAGAAAAGGATTGGGTAGGTTGACAGTAGATGCTTGTTGCAGTCTCCAGATCAGCAACTGCAAAACACTTCATGCACTCCAGGATTTTTGAACACTTCCCTTTCTATTGCAACTCCCCTCTCAATATTTTATCTTGACAGCCAGGAAATGTTGCTTGGGTTCACACAACAAACAACCCTATGTGGTTACTGCAGTATACTTTATTTTTCCCATGATCTACCCAACAGACAATCAAGTGGTTTCTACTTTATCTTGGTTTCCATTCTGCCTGCTCAGTCCTTCTGCTGTTGGAAGGTATTTCATCAGCCACTACCTCTGAAATTCATTCCCAAGCTGCATTGCTCCCTGCCTGCATCACCTGCCTCTTCCTCATTTGTCCACACATGCAGTTGAATGGCTGGAGCAGGTCTTGCAGCTGTCACTTTTTTTCAAGGAATATTGTGGTAGTTGCATACCAGGCCCATGGAAACTACAATTCTGGGTTTAGAGAACACAATGAGCTATGGTGGTATGGAGAAGTTGTAGATCAAGCAGCTGTTTCCTAACATGGTATCTAAAGACCAAATTTACCATGGTAAAATACAACTGGGTTCAGGCAACACAACTGGCCAATAATGGTAAAAAACAAAACAACCACTCAAAAGTAACCTATGTACAATGTAAGGAACTGCAGCTGAAAATGGTAACTAGAAGTTCCCTTTGATTGCAGTGATCTATGTGAATCCCTGTGCACAGCAGTCTGAACAGGCCCTGTGTCAGCAATCTTAATTTAATTTGAGAAAGGGCATGGAAGTAATGGAGCTGGTAATTTCCAAAGAGCAAGTACAACAGAAAGATACTATCTTTAGTAATGTGTAGTAAAGAAAGAACTTCTTTTTGTCTTCGGTAGGTGTGGGAATTAAATCTGAAGAAATAAATTATTGTTAGCTTTGCAAAATTAAATATGGTATTCATATTTGATTATCTCATTTCTAAAATGTTCATTTGTTCAGCCTTAAACATAAGCAAACTGTCAATGCATATGGGGCAGAGCATGCAAAAGCATGCCTCAGAATTAGATGTAATTGTAATGAAAATTACTGCTTAGTATCAGGTTGTGTCTTCAAATTAATAGAGTAGTTGAAATGTAATTATATCTGGAAACATCTTCTAAAGAGAGTTTTTGCTCAAATACTTTTTCATTATTTTCTAACTTAAGTGCATTATTAACTTTGTTACAGGGATTTAAATTTAGGGGAGACAAAGTCTCGTAAGTTGTCAGGACAGGAGAGTGAGGGAAGCGGTGACGTGGAATCCTCTGCGACAGAGGCAGATCAAGGAGCTCTGGAAGAAGACAGCAGGTAAGTTAAACATGTGATTGTTTATTTTCAAGTTATTCCCTGAAATGCATTTTGCTTTCAGATTTAAAATGCAGTTCCTCCTAGAAATGCTGCTATGGACATTCTGAGTCATTGTAGGCAATCTTGCTAAAAGGTATTTCCAGAAGTTTCTACCTTTTGTAATCCAGCCATAATAAGTATATGTGCACCTTTTTTCTCCTCTTCAAAAGGTTCTTAGATAAAAAGTAGAAGGTTTTGCCTCTTTGGCAAGAGATCTGCCAAAGAAATAATGTGGGAATGAATCTCAACACAAACAGGTAGCTGTGGATCATGGACCTTATGTAAAACATATGTAGTTAGATTCAATTTTATGCAAGAGCAACTGTGCTAACAAAAGTGAATTTCTCTGCCCTCTCCTTATTTATTTATTTATTATTTAGGAGACTTCTATGCCACCCCATTCACAACCATAAACAAACTTCAAAATAGAATAATATAAATTAACAATATAAATTAAGTTGCCCTGGCCAAAGAATAAAATGAATAAATAATATTATCAATTAAAATAACATTTGAATAAAAAGGTCTTTGCCTGGCACCAAAAAACAAATAATGACGGCGCCAGGCAGACCTCTCTGGGGAGCGCATTCCATAGATTTGGCGCCACCGCAGAGAAAGCCCTCTTCTGAGTACTCACCCTCCTAATTTCCTTCACGGAGGGTTCCCGGAGAAGGGCCTCTCCTGCAGATCTCAAGGGGCGGGCGGGCATATATGGACATAAGTGCTCCTTCACGTAACCAGGACCCAAGCCGTTAAGGGCTTTATAGGTCATCACCAACACCTTGAATTGGGCCCGGACTTCAATGGGAAGCCAGTGAAGCTGACGCAGGACTGGAGTCATGTGAACATAATGCCCAGTCCCCGTCAGCAGCCTGGCAGCTCTATTTTGAACCAATTGAAGTATCCGGACCGTCTTCAAGGGTAGCCCCACGTAGAGCGCGTTACAGAAGTCAAGTCGGGAAGTCACCAATGCGTGTATCACTGTCGCCAGGCAGTTGTACTCCAGGTAGGGGCGCAGCTGATGGATCAGCCGAAGCTGAAAGAAAGCGCTCCTCGCCACCGCTGTCACCTGAGCTTCCAGTGAAAGCTCTGGGTCGAGGAGCACTCCCAAGCTGCGAACCTTGTCCCTAAGAGGGAGTGCAACCCCATTCAGGACTAGGTTCAGTTCACCCTCCCCGAAGCCCGATCCGCCAACCAACAGGACCTCCGTCTTGTCTGGATTGAGCTTCAGTTTATTGGCCCTCATCCAGCCCATTACCTCGGCCAGGCACCGGTTCAGCACAGCCACTGCCTCACCTGGATTGGTGAAAAATGAGAGGTAGAGCTGGGTATCATCAGCATACTGGTGATTCCACAGCCCACACCTCCTGATGACCTCTCCCAGCAGTTTCATGTAGACGTTAAACAGCAAAGGGGACAAAATGGATCCCTGCGGTACTCCATGGCATAACTGCCATGGTGCAGAGCCATAGTCCCCCAGCACCACCTTCTGGAATCGGCCATTGAGATAGGAGTGGAACCACTGCAAAGCAGTGCCTCCGACCCCCAATCCCGCTAGCCTATCCAGAAGGATACCATGGTCGATGGTATCGAAAGCCGCTGAGAGGTCCAGAAGACCCAACAGGGACGCAGTCCCCCTGTCCTTCTCCCTGCACAGGTCATCGTACAGGGTGACAAAGGCAGATTCAGTACTGTACCCGGGTCTGAAGCCAGACTGAAATGGGTCCAGATAATCAGTTTCATCCAAGAGTGCTTGGAGTTGTCCCGCCACCACCCGCTCCAACACCTTGCCCAGAAAAGGGATGTTGGCCACTGGTCTATAATTAGTGGCCACCTCTGGATTCAGTGGCGCTTTCTTCAGAGCAGGTTGGACTACCGCCTCCTTTAAAGGGGCAGGTACCCGACCCTCCCTCAGAGAAGCGTTAACCACTTCCAAGATCCAGATTCCAATCCTGTGCTTGGCGTTGTTTATTAACCAAGATGGGCAAGGGTCCAATAGGCAAGTGGTGGGACATACTCGTCCAAGCACCTTGTCCACATCATCAAGCCGCAATAACTGAAATTCATCCATTAATTTTGGACCAGACGGCGACATTGGTATCTCCCCAGAAGCCTCTGAATCAATAGTAGAGTCTAGTTTGTGACGAATCTGAGTGATTTTCTCCCTGAAAAGCTTGGCAAAGTCGTCACAGCGGGACTTTGAGGGTGGAACCAGATCTTTCTTAGGACCAGGGCGGACAAGGCCTTGTACCACTCGAAAAAGCTCCGCCGGATGGCATTTTGAGGAGGCAATGGAAACGGAGAAGAATTTCTTTTTCACCACCTCACCGCCACAGCATAGGCCCGATAATGGGCTCTTAAGTGTGTTCAGTCAGATTCATCCCATGATCTCCTCCACCTATGCTCTAGCCATCTCCCAGCCTGCTTCATTGCCCGCAATTCAGATGTATACCAAGGGGAAGAGTGGGCTCTGCCTGGTGGGGGAGGACGCTTAGGAGCGATCATGTCAACAGCCCTAGTCATCTCCCCTTTCCATAGTTCGACCAGAGCCTCGACAGGAGCACCAGTCTTGTCAGCCGGAAACTCCCCCAGGGCCTTCAGGAATCTGTCCGGATCCATCCGGCTCCAGGGGTGGACCCACACAATCGGGTCCGCACCCTTACAGAGGGAGAGGCCGCTCTCGAGCACAAACCTCACAAGGAAGTGATCTGACCATGACAGGGGTGTCAGACATAAATTCCTCAGCCTGAGACCACCCTCTTCCTGCCCTGTCGAGAAAACCAGGTCCAGAGTGTGTCCACGTTCATGGGTCGGGCCTGTGACATGTTGAGACAGCCCCATGACTGTCATGGAGGCCATGAAGTCCTGAGCCGCCCCAATCAGACCAGTCTCGGCATGGAGATTGAAGTCCCCCAGGACCAACATCCTGGTGGTCCTCAAGAACAGGTCCGAGACAATCTCCATCAGCTCAGTCAGGGAGACTGTTGGGCAGAAGGGTGCACGGTATACCAACAGAATCCCCAATCTGTCTCGATCGCCCAACACCAAGCAGAGGCACTCCAGCCCTGGTCTCGAAGGGACTGGAAGTCCCGTGAGGGAGATGGAGGCTCGGTAAACCAAAGCGACCCCCCCTCCCCTCCCCTCCAGGCATGGACAGTGCTGAACCAGATACCCGGGCAGGCACATTTGAGAGAAGGCAACATCCCCCCCTCTCCCGCCCAGGTCTCCGTTATGCAAGCCAGGTCGGCCCCCTCATCCACAATCAAATCACGGATGAGGGAAGATTTATTGTGGACCAACCTGGCATGGAGGGACTACTTCCTATGGTAGTCCCTCCAGCCCCCTGAAGAGACTTTGCTGAATGATGCAAATATTGGTGTGGGGTGAAGAAAGATTTCAAAACTTAGATGAAGGGGCCTTCCATCGGTGTAGCCCTTCTTCCCATGGGAGACAGAACTTGCATCCAACCCAAAAGCAGCAAAAAAAATAGGCCTGTCACATCTAATGGATAAGTGTGTATATATGTGGAATAAATGGGATCAAGATGGTTGCAGATCAAGACCGAATGATAGACATAAACCATCCAGTTATGATAAGTCATTTTTTTTCTGCCCCTGCAGTTCTAAAAAAGAGAATCAGGAGCCATCTTGGAGTGGTCCACTGGCTGAAAACTCTGTGCCAGAAATTGAAGTCGCTGAGATAGCATATACTGCTGATGAAAGGATGTAAACACTGCCAGTTGCCTTTACATTCATATAAAACAAAAAGCATCATGGCTGGAATGCATTGAACTGAAGCATTTAGTAGCTATAAAGCAGGAGGTGAGAAGGCACCAACTTGAATGTTTACATTACTCAGTCTGGGTAAATCTTTGGCATAGGAAAGATAATCAGTGCTGCTTTGATTTGGCTGTGTGTGTGTGTGTGCATGCACATGTGTCTCATACACATGCACACACAAATATATTAAAACCTCTGGTTAAGGCCAGGTCACATTATGCCTAGAATCTCTGTATATAAATCACAATTTACCAATATGTAAACGCTAAATGTCACATATGTAGATATCCATCATGTTTATCATCTCGCATGTTGTATATTACATATTTGCTACTAATACACGACACATTGTTGTATGGGCAGCTCTTTGGTATCTGGTTTTTCAGATTCTTTATATATGCATATAATGTTATGCTCTGGGGAATATAGGTCTGTCATATGGGCTTAGAAAAAGTATGCAATCTGTTGTGATTTTTAAAATGATACATGTAAATAACTGATATGTAAATTTTAATGCAATAAGCTAGGAAAGCTTACAGTACCAAAATGCTAATTCAGAAATTGGGAATATTTCAGAAGGGGTGGATTTTTGTTTTTATGGCATAGATGGAAACTTAAGGCACAGTCCTATGCATATAGGACATTTTCTGTCTAAACATGCAAAGGATTGCACCTTTAGTAAAATAAACTGTATAGCCCAGTCCCACTGTGAATATTCACTTTCATTTGACAATGATGCAAAAGCTGATTTAACGTATAACTCCTTTTTAAAATTGAATGACATGTTTGTCACACAGCCACATAATCACAGAAACAACAACTCTGCCTTATAGAGAGAACACTACCTCTTATTTAGTTGCTAATGCATAAATATGTTGGTCAAAACATGTATATTATAGACAGAAAGTTGAGTTGTTCAAGCCATACTTCTGCAGTTAATTAACTCGATTAAATCTAGTTGCAGTTTGCATATGTGTGTTTTTTAGAATACTGAACACATGGAAATGCTTCAATGTACTGTGTAGTTGAGCTTTCAAATTGTATTAAGCCCAGTGATGCACTTTATTATCATTAAAAAAAACCCTTCACATGCCAAGTTCATTGGCTTATATAATTAGTCTGAGTTGAACCCTTGGATGACGGCAGGTGAGAATGGTTTGCACAATAGTGCCTTTTTGCAATTCGCTTGTAACATATGTTTGCTATAAAGTGTGGGTCAGCTTTGTGGATTCTTTAAAAAAAAATCTTTCTGGTCAGCAGTTGTTTGCTGAAAGTGCCTTTTTTGTCTGCTCTTCCAGTGGGAAGAATGCCACTTTTGTTCTTCTCTGTGCCACCTACTTCTTTGTTTGAATGCTTTCAACACACACTCTCCACGTGCTTGGAGTTTTCAATGCTCACTTTGTATTTTTGGGTGTAAGAACAAAGATCTCTGTAGAACTATATAAAGCCATCTGGGGCAAATAAACTTTGGACATGATATCTTTTCTTGTCATCTGTTGATGTTTACAGTCAGCATTAAAAGTGCCTGGAGTACAAGGTTAACTGGTTCATCAACTTTTAGTATACATTCACATTATTACTATGATGTGTGAAATCATAGTATTTGCTTCAAATGCATTTTGGGTGTGGTTTACCCTTCGTTAACCTGATGTCTACTTCCTCTAGGATTGGTATCCAAGTATCATGCCTGTAGCTTCACTGAAGGGGGCTTGGACGTATGTTCCAGGAAAAGCATGATCCTATAATAAATGGCCAAGCAGTTCTGAGGAGGAGACAGTTCCAAAACCAGTGGGAAAATCTAGTGAGCTAACTGATATGGGAGAAGAAAGACTCAACATCAGTAATGGCATCAGGTTAAGAGGGAGGGCACCATGGGACACTCCAAGCAATTGGGCCGTAAACAACATGATCCACTTTGAAGGTAGAATTAGCTCTTTTCAGCTTAGAAGGAAGCTGAGATTCAGTTTAGCATCAGACTTGTATCATTAAGCCACATGTCCCTAACAAGCAATATTTTTGCTTGTTTCTTTTGTTACTGTTTTCTCAAATACTCTTCTTTTGCTTTTGTATTGCAAAAGAAGAGCCTAGCTGGCCAGTTGTAACGTAATATATACTTTTAATTAGAAAGTCTTTGTTCTGAATTGCTTGGAGGAGGAGAAAACTGACTACATCACTAGGCTGTACCAGGCAAAGGCACCTTTGCAACTTCCAGATATTTTGGACTGCCTATCAGTTCTAGGCAGCATGGACAATGTCAGGAATTATGGCAGTTACTGGCCAAAGTAATGCCTGCATCTGCAGTAGAGCAATTACACTGGGTCCACACATAACACTAACCTAAGGTATGGGTTGTATTCTGAATTGTGTTAAGTGAATTTAGCCATGCTAACAAACTGTGTTGCTAACCAACAGCAACACAGAAACCCAGAAAGAACTCATGTATGTTACTGCTTTGTGAATGCTGAGTTGACAACTATGGGTAGTCATTATGTGTGAACCCAGAACTGTGCATTGTTCATGAATTGTTTTGCCTCACTACACAAGTATGAGAAAGAGTGGTTTAAAAGAAAAAGAAAAGCACTGCAGAGTCATTTGGGATACAGAAAGGAGCAGGAAAAGGATGGCAACAAATAAACCAGGGACTGAGGAAACTTTTTTTTTTTTATCATCTGCAAAACAGCCAACCATAGATTAACTATTGGTTAGAACCACAACATGCATCACTTTTGAAATCAAGTTACAGCTGAAAATCTGTGTCCTTGCAATAAATTTCCAAATTGCACTAAGGCTTGTTCCTGCCCATTATGGGCAGGAACACAGTATAAACACAGTATTGCTGATGTTGGACTAGTTGAAGTACAGTAAAGTACTAAGTGGTAAAATAGGGTGTTTTGCAACAAGACAGGGAGACTGCTTAGGTATGGCATTCCATTGCTTTATTACGATGTGTGCAAGCATCAGTCAAACCATCTATTAAATATGTTTATTTGAGCTTCTTATGCACAAATCTAGATTTCTATGTAAAGGTAGGGCTGAATCCAATTTTATATTGGATCAACTGTGCTGGTATCCACCTTCCCACTGCAGCTCTTCCAGAACCATAAATTTGCAATACAGAGTCAGGAAACGTTGCTGAATGAAGGGAACCGTGAGGGACAGGGATTCCCCAAATTTTGAACAGAGGGATCTTCTGTGAGCAGAGTTGCTCTGTTCATACAAGTTTATTTCCTTTTAAAGAAGGCAGATCCTGAATCCAACCTTTAAATGAATACTTTTAAAAAGTAATTTTATGTCGGTTAAATTCATTATATATTTTTTTTTCTGTGTGACCTTCTTATTGTGCTTAAAAGTGTATAATCCTTCATTTTATGTTAAGTTTTTAATATTAAAGGTGGTGTTTGTGTTTATGTGCATAAACAAAGTGACAAAGTAGTCTTTGGAAAACATATTCCAATGGGAATATCACAGGCATCTCTAACATGGTACATGTGAGCATGTCAGGAAGCTTTATCATAACCGCTGCTCCCTAATATTAATGGATGCCACAAACTGCCCATTTGAAGAACAAGACCTAGATTAGGGTTAGAAGCCTGGTGACCTTATGCTTTGGACTACAGTTCCCTGAATCTATGACCATTGGGCATGCTTACTGAGGGAGTTGAAGTTTAAAATGTCTTTTGGGCACCATTCTGAGCTGGTATAATGATGCTGCCAGAAACGCCATCTCCCTTCTGTTAGCAGAGCTGTGAGAAGAGAAGAGCTGTGTTGCCACCTGTTTTGGGAATCAGCTAACATCTCCCAAAACATTCTATGTTGCTTTTAAAATAATCTTGGGTCTTGAAAGTTATAAAATATCTTTGAGGAATAACATATAGTGATTTTGATACAGCTATTTTGTATTAATTGGAGCAGGAATACCAGAAGTAATTAATTTCTAGTAACATCAGGAACTTTTAAAGAAGCTGTGGAGAAAAGGAATCATAACTGGAGAGAATAAGGAAATCAATTGTGCATTACCTTAGCAGGCAGGCATTAAATACTTTCTTTATTTGCTTCCCAGAACAGTTACCCAAGAACAGGCAATGTTTATAATCAAAGCACTGGCAGTTTGTGGACTTTATGTCCTGGTTTCCCTCTATCATTCCATACGTTTAAAGTATAGAACTACCACTCCATACTGTAGTTCATAGTACTTTAGCTTTGAATTTGTCAAGAAATATTTGTGTAGTGCAGCTTCTCTTTCTCTCTCAAACACACACCCCTAATGCCCTACAGATGTGTAGAACTGGGGATAATAAGAGTTGCAATCCAATACGTCTGGGGAGCACCAGCTTAGGGAAGGCTAGCATAGCATTTTCCTGATGTGGATTGTGCCCTAAAGCAGGTGATCTAAATTTTCCTAGCTATGAATTGTATCTAAAAGATTATGCACAAAACAAATACCATTATCCATTTCTGAGTCCTCCTTCATGACTGCTTCATGCAATTTGCAACAGAGCCTTGTGGCAGTCTTAAAGACTATTTATTATGACATAAGCTTGAACCCACTTCATCAGATGCAATTAATTTGCTTCTTTAGCAAGAATGTTCATGGTGGTGTAACAATATGCTTACGCAGGGTTCTAATCCCAGTTAGCAACTGAGCATTTGGAAAAAATGAGTACAAGGTCTGCATTTATTCATGTGTTAGGAAGCATTTCTTACTTTCCAAGGCACACACTCAAATTCTGAGAACAGATGCACATTTGACAAATTCCTCCATGTGTTTCTCGCTGTACTCCTCCGTCCCTGCTTGCCCAGTCACAGAGATTGCCAACCTGCATCATGGGTTAAGTCCATGCAAACCTTTCTCCATGCTGTCATGTGCCAATGCCTGTAAGTTGTGGAGGAATGTGAGCGTGTAAACCAACCACCTGCTATAGGGGAATTACCCTTTGGCACTTACCCTTACCCTTTAGGGGGAATTACCCTTTGGCTTAGAGGCTATTGAAATGGTTGAAGTGTAGTAAGGAGGTTGATTTTCTTCCCCTACAGGGCCTTGTGGACAGTTCTAATCTCTATGAATGACGGGAAGTGGGACTAAAGCCTATTACATGGGATTTTTGTAGCATGCAAATGTATGGTTTTTGTCTATCTATTTTAAGCATCCTTTATTTCTTGGTCTAGCTGCCAGCAATCCAGTATTCAGGTACTTCCTTGTGTTGGTTTCCTCCTTCCCATCACTTCAATGAGTCCAAGTGGAATTTTCTCCCACTGAAGTTCAGAAATAACATTCTGTTTGTGGAGAAGCCAGCAAAACAGAACATCTGGCTTGATTTGAACCTTCAGAATCCTGTCAGCCTGACATGCAAAATTGCCACTTCTAAACATAGCAAGGTCAAATTCTCAAGTAACCACAGAGAGGATGTTCGTATGGGCAAGCGAAGAGAGAGAAAAGACACACGCATCCTGGTGATTACTCCCTGCATCATTCATAGGTTGTGGGCTTCCTCAAAACCATTTCTCTGCCCTGCAGAAAAAAATGCTGGCTGGTAACATTGACCAGATTCACCTCACACAGCAAACTAGAGTGTGGATTATCAATGAACCCAGTACAGCTAGAAAAATCATGGTTTCATTAACCACAAAACCCCATTTTATAACTCAAGAAATCATGGGGTTTTTTTGTGGGTTATTTGTGCTTGAGAAACCCTACTTTGTCAGCCAAGCTGGGGTCACATGGTACAACAAACAATGATTCAATGACAGTCTGCATTTAAACTGTAGTTGTGTAAACCACATCTTTGTGTCACAAAGTAAGTTTCATAAGAACTACAGCCTAGGTTATTTTTCTACACTGACTCTGTCAGTCATTTCATAATAAAATGAGCTTGATCCAGGCAAAGTTAGTTGCATTTAGTGAGTATCAATGGCTATTATCAAGGTCAACTTGTTCCATTGGTTTTCTATAGGACCACGTTGAACTAACCCACAGCATAAACCCATGTCTATCTGTTCAGAAGTAAGTCCCATTGAGCTCAGTAAAGTTGACTCAGGTATAGGATTGCATTGTTAGTCTGCAACCAGTCAATTATATCACAATGGTCTGATGATAAACATGATCTTATATTCATGAGGTAGGGTGGGGGACTGGAAAAGGAAAAATGCTAAGTGGTAGCCAATTTTCTCAAAGCAGTTGTAGCACATAAATGACTGTATCACTGCTGCTAAATCTGAAGGTTTGTGGGAAATGAAAATTAACTATGCATTGATATAATTTCCAGCAAAACAAGAGATATCTAAGGGAACTTTGAGAAGGAAGATTCCTGGTACTAGCATTTAGAAGGTGCCTTGTAGCTTTTCCACCTTTCTCCTTTTTCTCCAGATTTTCTGCAGTAAGGACAAGAAGTGTTGTGGAAACAAAAGAGGGTTATGCGTAGAAATGATGTCTAGTATTCCCATACAATTCAATGTCAGAAACAAGGTGATAGCAGAGAAAA